TCTTTCCCTGCCTTCTGGTAGAATTGTAGCTAAATTACTCAAAACTTCCAGAAGCTAAGTCTGTCAGAAAACTTTCCTCACACTTAAAAGTTAATCACATTGGCTCTGTTAAGTTGTTCCTAGAGAATATTCATCTTCCATTATAATAGAAAGTCAAAAGAGAAAGTGTTGGAAACCTTTTCAAGATGGTAGATAAATGAGATTTCATATTAAGTTGTAGGTAATCTCTTTGTCAGTGAAGAAAAAGAAGCAGCACTGTCTGGCAAACCTCTGAGAACACATGGTAGGCTTTTCTTTTTTTTTTTTTTTTTTTCTTTTTTTTTTTTTGGAGAGGTTTTCACTATAGGGTGCGTGCGCTTGCCAGACAGAGAGACAGAGAGACAGAAAGTGAGAAATCACCCCCCAGGGGTATGGCCTCGCCGCAATCCCTTCTCCTCCAGTCTCCTCTCGGGATCTTGGGCACGCACGCACACGCACCTGGTGTGAGTTTAAGCCACCAGGTCCGGGACTCGAACCGTGGTCGACTACATGGGAGTCCAATGACATAGCCATTAAGCTAACTGCTGGTCCCAATGGTAGGCTTTTCTTGACCATAATTGTAGTTACTTATATTTTATAGGACATGTTCATGCACATCACCTCATTAAATCTTCACAAGAACCCTCTGATGTGGGTGGGCAACCCCATTTTCCACATCTAGAAACTGAGCAAGGGAGGGTAACTCTATTTACTTATTTTTTTAAAGTACATATCTACTAAGTGGTAAATATTAGGTCATTGGGAAAGTCATGATGTATTTTTCTATGTAAAAATGCTATATATTCAGGATTGTATTACTTCTTTTTTCTGTGTAAAAAGACATCATGACTTTCCCCATGATGCAATAGACTTCAAATCTTTTGATGACAATTCACTTTACCAAAAAACTATTTTTTAAAATATTAGTTTTTCAAAGACCACATTAAGAAGTGTCAGCCTGGAGAGTGGCTGCAGTGTACCTGAGAGAGAAAGGCATGACACCATTTCTGCAGTTCACTATATATAGAATGAATAAGTAAAATAAAAGGAAATGAACCTATACATAAGACACTGAACTCTTTGAAGTAAAATGACACACAGTCTCAGGATATTGCTATGGTTTTGTTTTTTATTCATAGCCAACTTTTATTTTTATGTCTAGAAAAATACATGGGGTGTTTAGGACTAATGTGCTGGCAATCTGCTACTTTAGTGATAGTAACATAATCCCGAAAAAGCAAGCACGATTATTCTGTACTTTTTTTTTTTAAGTTTTATTCAGCAATAAGACCATAATTTTTCATATTTAAAGAAGTATGAAAAATTTGTCGAGTTTTAAAAGCTGAATACATGTAGCGTTGGATCAAGGCACATACAAGACTGGCCAAAGGGCATACAAAGCACTTTGGTTTTTTGTTGAAAAAAAATTATGGCAACAAAAAAGTGATATGATTTTTAAAGAAGTAATAGCTCACAATTCAGTAGGAAGCTAAAAATAAATGTTACATTACAAGTTCATTATGTAATATCTGGAGAACTGTGACAGTAATGGGCAGTATTCTTGATCATTGTGAAAGTAAACTGAACGTTTATGTACAGTGTTAAAACATTTCACATAAACCAAATCTAAATTTGATTGCTAGTATTTATTTTCTTTAAAATTCTCATAAAGTACTACTTTTTCTGGATTGTTGAGGGCAATTGCTTATGGTTATGCTATCTTTTAATATGCATACAATTTCTCTTGGATATCCTGTATGATAAAAACATCATCAACACTAACAATTTTGTGTTTAGAATTCACTTTCCAAAAATCAGGATGGTACAGGCAAAACCAAAATGCAGTTCTGGTATTTGTGTTCATTATACTATACACGTCTAAGTTTTCATGTTTTCCTAAGTTTGCATTTTTTCCCCCTAACTTGGAAGCATGCTTTCATTATTGTTTTTGTGAAGCTCTTTATTCTCAAAGCTTTGTTGACAAGGGCTTTAGCAGCAGACTTCACATTCCTTTTATGTCAGCTGATGTATTCAGTTCAGAAAGTTCGCTTAACATTCTTAAGGATATCTAGTATCTAATTTGCCTAGAGCAAAAATGGCGATGTGCAGCAAGTTTAATATTGCCCATTACTTCACACATTTTGATTTATTGAATACCACTGGGATAATACAAATTTAATAATTGGAACATTTCATAACAAGTGTTTGAAATTTAATTTTTCCCATTCAGCCATTCAGCCAGGTTTTTTTTGTCTTTTTTTTTGTACATTTTATTAATACCAAAGTGAAAAATGGCCTGTGCTTATACTACAAGGATCTCATGTGAACGCAGTCCTGATTGTTCAACACAGCAAGAAAATTCACTTTCACAGTCAACAAGTCATCTTACTCAGTAGAACACAAAGTAAATGGTTTATAACTTCAATATCTGCAAGGAAAATACAGTACAAATTACTAAAAAATACTAAAATATAGAATTGTGTTCAGGCATCTTCACTACATCAATCGCAGCAGTAACCTGAAATTTGAAACTTTTAATAAAAAGTTCTTAAATATAAATTATATGGCAAATGTACAGTACATTGCTTTTTTTTTTCAGTCCTTTTCTCCAGTGTTTTGCAGTAGAACAGGGTTCCTACCATCACCTCCCTTAGGTTTAAAAAAAAAAAAACCCAACACAGTCTGTTGCAAGTCCTCCAGCATCATGAGTGTGAGTGGTCTGAGTCTGGAATGCCACTGTCTCTGTAGCTTCGGTTACTACTGCTTTCACTGTGATTGTTTTTGTACAGATTCATTCCATTAGGAGGAAATATGGTGTGTATTACAAACTCCTCCTTTGAGATGGGTTCATTGCTTATTGGTAACATCTGAAAAGAAGTCTCCCTGATTTCCAGGATAGAGTTGTCCTTCTTAGTACCAGCTTCTGCATAGTCATCCTTTCTCCTCCTCCCTTTGCTGTACGCACAGTTCCTTGAGAAGAGCGATCCATTCCTGTGGACATACCAGCACACTAAAGCAAGAAGGGCAATGGCCACCAAGGCCACAGCCCCCCCAATGATGGCAGCCAAAGGTAAATTAGGGTTTTTGTAAGGTTCTTTCTCTTGCTCTCGATTGAGAGTGGTTGTAGGGTTGTACATTCGAAGGGGTGCAGTTTCTGTTTCAATACAAACAGGAGTTTCATCAAATAGGTAGAGGTTACTGGTTTCCATGGGAACCATGCACACTCTGTAGGGTGAATCAGGCTCCAGGGCTGTGACTAAGTACTCACTGCGGTCCCCTGTTACGATTGTTTCCGTTATAGATCCAAATGCTGGGCTATGGCCCAGTTTAAGCCAGCTGAGTCTTAAAGCAGTCATAGGTAGAGCAAGTTTCCAGGAGATATGAATTGTGTCAGAAGTGACAGACTTCACAGTAATTGTGATTGTTTTTCTTGAGGGACTTTCTGTGGTTCGCTGATCCTTAGTGAGCTTAGTATTCTTCGTATCTGGTTGTTTGGTCACGGGAGCTGGCCACTGCCCTTGAGCAGGATACACTGTGTTGGGTACTGCAGTGGTTATCTGAATGGTGCTCACAAAACCACTGTCCTTACAATCAAACAGCTCAGCATTGAGGTCCTTGATGGCCATCCCACGAACTTTTTCTGGGGCTTGGCACATGAGCCCACGTACATTGACCTTCACAGGCAGTGACTGTAACCAGTCACGTACCCATTTCATCTTGCACCCACAATACCAAGGATTGTTGCGAAGAATCAATTGAGTTATATTGTCTAAATCATCAAAGATACCCTGAGGTAAGTTACTTAGGTTATTATTGGACATATCCAGTCGATACAGCTGCCTTAGATAAGAAAAAGCATTTGGAGGCACCCAATTGATGTGGTTGTCTTGAAGATAAAGCTTCCTCAGGTTCATGCCTGGAAGGTTTACTGGTGCAGCAGTCAGGGAATTACGCACCAGTGACAGTTCTGTTAAGTTTACTAGGTTGAAGAAAACTTTGTCACCTAAACCATGATTGTTCAACAGATTTCCATCTAAAACCAGGCGTTTTAGGCTAGTGAGACCTTGAAGAGACAGTGATGAAATAGTGGATATGCGATTATCATCCAAGCGTAGCTCTTCTATAGTCCTGGGCAAACCCCAGGGTATTGTGCTAAGGTGGTTACGGGACAGGAAAAGCAATCGGAGATAGTTGCTGTCTCGGAATGCTCCCTCTTCAATGCTAACAGCAGAGACAGAGTTGTCATCTAAATGTAATTCTTCCAGATATGGAATTTTTGAAAGAGAATCATAAGTGATAGTCCTTATGTTGTTTTCTTGCAAATGTAACTCTTTTACATACTTTGGGAGGTTGGTAGGAAATTCATCTAAACTGTTGTGGTACAGGTATATTCTTTCAACTTTCAGTAAATTTTTCAAATCCGAAGGAATTCCAGCATTATTTATTTGGTTGTTCTGAAGGTAGAGAGTTGTAGCATCCTCTGGTATTCCTGTTGGAATGGATGTGAGAAAGCGATCATTACAGTAAATGAAACCCGCATCACAGCGACACACAGATGGACAAGATTTAGCCATAACTGACAGAGGTGCCACTTGAAGGAATAGCCCAATTTTAGTCCCGATGAGGAAGATGCTCCAAACTGGGCTGATCATGGTCAGCAACGTTGAGGTCTTTGCACAAAGTAGCTTCCGTTACTTCAGAGCCCTAAAATGGACCAAGTGAAAAAAAGAGACAGCAATTAGGCCAGTGTACTGAAAAAAGTCTTTAAAACAGATGTGGAAACTAAAACAGTTACAATTACTTTTGATCTTTTCATTTTCTTGGTGGAGGGATTACATACTTCACAGTTACTACTAGCTAACAATGAACACAATCATATAACCTCTTTACCTAACATATTTCTGGTATATAAATTTTAAATATATCACATCTCAAATTCATTTGATTTTGAAATGCTAAATACAATTAACATTTTTTGGAGTAGTGCAAAGTATTTTTATTATGCTTCATTTCTATTTCATAACAAGCACTGACCAACCTAGTCAAATTCCTCATTTTTTTCTTAGTATTTATAACTGCTAAAATGATCTGTTATATCTAAAGATAACTTTGGGGCCAGCAGGTGGCGTGGTGATCGAGGTGCTGGACTCCCATATGGCGACCATGGTTCAAGTCCCAGACCTGAGGGCCTGCTTGCTCTCTCTCTGGTCAAGTTGAATAATAATAAAAAGTAAATAAATAAGTAAACTTTTAAAAAAGATAATAATTTTACTACTCTTAAAAAACAATTTTATGTCTATTTTGTATTATGTAAAGGCCTATATAGGTGTATAATTGTGTAGTTAAAAAAAATTGGGTGGTCAGGAAAGTTATGACACATTTTTGTATAGAAAAACACATCATGACTTTCTGGACAACCTGGTATTTGTTACTGTTGGGAATATCTTGAGATTCTAAACCTCAGAAAAGTCAATTATTTGCTTTAATTATTGTTATTTCTTTTTCCTTATTAATACTGTATGTTGTTTAAAAGGTATCTCTAGTAAGAAAATGAGAAGATATCTTGTATTTACTCTAGGGAAAGAATTACATAACTGATACATTCAGCTAATCTAAGTGGAAAATTCCATTTCGTGTTAAACTGTTTCTGTCCTCAGTTTTTATATGTTTCATACTGCATGGTTTAATGATTGTATCCACATTTGTCATTATTTTCTATATCAGAACATGTTTTCACAATGAATTTATCTTTCATCAAATTCTAACCTAGAACATGATTCAACTTTCCTTGTGGCTGGAAAATTATAGATTTATACCATTTATTGTGTAATACAGTATTTTCTGCACTTGTAGGTATTAATTAGCCTTTACGATTTTAGGCATGAAATAAAATACTTTAATATTTTTTTTTCCTACCTTATTGAACGATGTGAGTAAATTTTGCGTGGGTGAAAATCCAATGCACATATATTATTTTCCTGGTGAGGGGCTGGGACTTAAAAATTCTTGTTTAGTCCTTGGGCATGTTCTTCACTGTTTAGTCAAGTAATCCTATGCCGCACACACCCTCCAGAGCAGGCTCGCTGTTGTCAATGAACATTCCAGCTGCGGTTCGCAAGCTCATTAAAGTGGGGGCCAGGAACAATTCAGCTTCCTGTCACTATGTAGGACACATGGCTTCCTATGTATTTTTTTTTTTTTTCTTTCTTTCTGATAGCGTTTCTGTGTGAAGGTTTCTTTTGTGAAGCTTAATTCCCTTAGTGGAAATTGCCCCCTTTGAAATTCTTATTGGCTCTTCTGGGCAATGGGGTCAGAGATAGTAACTTCAGCTCCTCATGAAGCAAGCCATTCATGATGCTAAGGCCTGTATAGTAATAGGTGTTTCAGGCAGTTACCCCCTACCTTTATTCCCATCCAGGATTATCCAAGAATAAACTCTGTACAGTAGCTACATCCTGAGGTATGATTACCTGCTGTGAAATAGCTATTTCCAGTTTTTGCTTCTTGTGGCTCTCTCAGAATTTCTGGTGCAGTGACGTTATACGGGAACAAGTATTGTCTTTTAAGAGGTAAAGAAAACTTAATTCAAATATTCTTCGTGGAAAGAAAAGGAAGCATAATACATTTCTTTTAGATCTCTCTTCCTTAAAATATACAGGGACTGAGCATCTCCTGTGAAAGTAAAAGGTTTTAATGAGCTATTAATAACGAACTTTAACATACCAGAGACATTTCCTAGAGATTTAACTTCAATTCTTTCTTTAAGCAACACATCTCCTATTATAGTAGTTTGGGAAAAGGGATAGGTTGACCTCTTTATTTTTCTGCCTTTCATTCTACTGTATAAATAAACTAGGAGCAGAAGTCGATATTATCAAACAGATCATTTCTAATGTTAACTGATTGTGAATGTCACTATGAATTAAACACAGAAGCAAAACTTTATTCAAGAGACAGTAAGCTCCTTCCATGGCTTGAATACTCAGGCCATCTTTGAAAATTCACTTTTAAACCTTATACATAAAAGGATAAAATGTTAAATAGAGGAAAACAAGTACATGTCAGTAAAGTGAGAGAATATATAACAAAGATTTTTGACAGAAATGCTATGGCAACTTTTTAGATATTTCTGAACAAGATTTGACAAAGTCACATAATCTACACTCTAAAGGGTTGAAAAAAGTTTGCTTTAAAAACTTCGATTTGCCCAGTGCCCTATTTGATTCTTCCTGCAGGTCTCCATTTTCGCATATGGACACCATTCACCTTCCTCTGCAGGAGTGTACCTGAAAACTACTTGTTGATCTTGGAACTCTAGGTACTCAGGTGTTTTTGCCCAAAAGGTGGCATAGAAGTTCAAGTCATAATTACTTTTTCAGAACCACGCTACTGTCATTTTCTTTTAGCATACCGCACTTGAAAAATCCATATTTGGAACAGAAAGGGCAACATTTCAATCTGTGTCTTTATAGTGACCATTTGGAAATGATATCAAAACCTGATAGGGCATTTTCTCTGCAGGCTTACACACGAACACACCTATTTCCAATAGGTGGAGTTTTCATATCTGGAAGACTTAAGGCTTGATTGAAGAGATCAGTGATGTTAATGACTGCTTGGTGTATTATCTAATATGCATGAAGACTTTTTAAGGATGTGGGGGAGGTAGGTAGTAGTATCAGGGTCACCCTCTAAGGTGCTTTCTTTCAGAGAACAAACATTTGGGTATCGTGGAAATATTCAGTCCTGAAATTAAGCACTAAAGTTATAGCAATTTGCTTCTCCCTGAGTTATTACCTAGCATCCAACAAGGATAGCATCTGTTCCAGAATTCAGACACTTTTCTGAAAGCTTATGTTAAATGAGGCCACAGTTTGCATTTCTGTTCTCCTCGAAAATCCAGTTTCTTTCAGTTTGCCACTAGATGCCGATACCATTATAGACTGTATTAACTGAGGGAAACTTAAAAAATTACAGATACATATAATTTATTATTTAGGCAACTTGAAACAAAAATAGCAGTTAGCAGATGGATAAAGCAGTCTCTAGTGATATTGCAAAATGCCCACAGAGGAAAGTTTAAATGATTTATTGTTTAATGTGAGGTTTTACTGTGATGCCTTAAGGGTTTTGCTCATTATTGTTGAATTTCAATACTATGTTTTCTTGAAAACTGTTGCTTTCTGACTGTGTGAAAGTGGAAAACCAAGCCAGAAATGGTCATTACAAAGTTACTTTTAAAAATATCTGCTGCAAATGTTTTCTAAGCTTGAAAATTATTCAACATGAAAAATAATGTAATTTAAGTTTAGAAAACAATTACTTTTGTTAAGGTGCATTAGAAACTGATTAAAAATAACTAGTGGGATCCTGGTTATGTTATTACCAATACTTAAGCATTTCTCATATTCCAGGAATTCCGGTGAGGCAAGACACACTCAGATGCTGATGTGATGAATCTGCTGAGCGGGGATTGAAACTGTTGATTGTTCTCTGAGTTAGGTCAGACCACATGTCCCAAATGATGATCATAATGATAACCAGAGATAATAACTGCCTTTTATCTGGTATCTGAGTGCTATATATTTCACTAACTTGGGATCTAAGAATATCTATTGATTTTCACATTTCCAACAGAGAAAGGAAAACAAAAAAAATCTAAATTAGTGTGGACAAAAGGGAAGATTAATGTGTTTATTTTACCTGTTTTACATTTGTGACACTGCTTTCTCAGGTCAGTTTGCTATGCAAACTCACATTTACCATTCATACAATAGTGGTAATAATGCAGGAGTCAAAGAAAGCCATAAGTCTCATTAAGTTTTGGAAAATGTCATCATCCTCTTCTCTCAAAATTGCAGTAAAACAAAAGGCAAAAATATAAAACAGGTTCCTCAGAGGATAAGGGTACTCTTTCAAGAGTGAAGATTCTGCCTACAGCTCCTCTCACAGGCCCCATCCCCTTAAGCTTAAAACAGTTCATTTCTTGTTTGACTCCATTTCTATCTTGTCCTTCCCCTTCGTATTTGACACCATAGGTGTTTGACTTTTGTTCTGGCATATTAAATGCTGTAGTGCTCTCTCCATCAGGAATAAGGGATCCTGTCCCCATGTTTACACTGCCCTCTTTCTGAGGTGGATCTGTGCATTCACATACATAGAAACATGGTAGCTGAATGTGAATGAGAAAGGAAAAATAGCCCCCACTGGCATGGCACTGTGGCCAGGTTTCCACAACATCGACCTCAGAGCTTTTCTGTCCGCATAGGCTTGAAAGAAGCCATTACTTCTGAACAAAAAGGCATCGATCTTTTGGGAAAATATTGTTAATAGGGTAACTGGGAGGTGGGGGGGGCACACATAAATGGAGCCCTGGTTACTTAATGGAATGTCGTAAAATTATTTTTTAATGGAATCATCAGGTAAGTATATATCACTTAAAAATGTGGCAAAAGAAGAAAAACAAAATTACTTCGCTGGCCCAATTTTTAACAGGGATTCTTTTATTCGTTCATTTTTATAAATCACATGGTGGATTTTCTCTTTTTTTCTCTGCTGTTGTAACGTAGTCATCATGTTTTAAAAAGCCTTTCATTTATTTCTTTACTATTCGTAAGACAAGGTGTAAATAGATACAAATGCCATTGTTTTGAGATATTTTAGGAAAACTGATATAATTTAAGAAGTTGTATCTGAACAGAAAATCTGTATTTAAATAAAATCAAAATCTTGAGGCAATGTCCATGTATATATGATCCCTTCTCTGCTACTGTAATATTCAGGAGGAAATATTTGAGATGAGAAGGTATTTCATGTTTCAAGAACATCAATTAAATTAAGATGGAGTGAGATAATGGTAGTGCTAATTTCCTAAATCCTTCATTTGCTACCTTTGATTTAAATCGATTCTGATCTGGCTTGTTGATTATTCATTTTTCAAAAATCTTAAATTGATTATGAGATTTTGAGATTTTTGTTTCTTTTTAATTATTTGCCTCACAGAATGATTTCTTAAAGCTAAGAACTTTTAAAAATATTAGATCTAAAAATTGAAGGGCATGTAGAATTTTTTTAGCCAAGTCAGTTGCATTATTATTTTGAGTTAAACCTTGAGGTTGAAGAACACACATGCTTAATCAAATTTATCCAAGTGTATGAGTACTGCGCTAAGTTAGAATACACAGTATCATAATGTAGGGTATTAGGAAAGTAATTTATTTATGAAGGCTTAAATTGCTACTAGTAGGTTCAACAGAATGAACAACCTGTGAATGTTAAGTTCTTTGCAACAACAAATGATATTTCAAATAGACTACATGTGTGGTTAAACTGAAAAACTGGTATATGTCAGGTTAGTTGATAGTGACAGCAAAATGCTTTCTAAGCAGCCTGTCTGGTAGTTAAATTTTCCACGATCATCAGATTTCAGGAAAGTTCCAATTCTTTTGTTTAATGCCAGGCAAGCAGAAGGACCTCTAACTCTCCTCTTGAGAGTCATGAAGTCTGAAGGGTTTGCTGAGAGGCAGAGAAGCAAGTATGCCTTTTCATACTGGTTTTATCCAGACTACTTTCTAGCCTCACGAAGGTTTGTTTCATTTATTGAAAATAGGGGATAAAAATTCCAAAGCAAAGGATTTTTACTTTCTTCATTTATGTTCCTGAGTTTTTTTCACCAATAGGTTTGTGACAAATTAATCTAATTCTGCTTCATTTATTTTGGCTTGTAAAGTTAAATCAAGCATCCTTAAAACAAAAAGGCAAACTGGGATGTTGTCTTTCATCCTAGTGAATGCTGCTTGCTTTTATGATATTAAAGTCAGACTAAATGAGTTAGAGAACCAACAACTGTAAGAATGAATAAGATATTAATTTAGAAGGTGGTGATGGTACCTGGTAGAAAGCTTAGGGCAGGGGACATACTTTAAGTGTCTGCTAACTTTTGAGCCATTGTAATTAAAAGTGTGCTTACTTTTGTTAAACCACAAATTTTTCCCATTGTGAATTGGAAGTTTCTTTGGTGGTACAGAACTCAAGAATAGATTTGGTTGATGTACTTTATATTCCTAACATTTAATACTCAAGTTTCCTTACGTTAGTTCAATAAATATTTGAGTCTGTAGTGTGGCAAGAACTGCTGGTTGGTGAAACCATGCAAAATCATAAAACACACTTTTTTTCATGTGTGAATAGGGTATTAATGATTTAAACCAGATGAAGGGGAAGAAAATCGACAACACATAAACTGATCAATCCACAGTCTGGTGACACACTTTAAAAATGGTGTTTAACCAAATGTGGTCTGCTGGTTTTCTCTTCAAAGTTGCCACGGTAACTTGTGCACATGTAAAGTGAAAGAATAAAGAACAAAAGCTGTCATTGTCTCATCAAGTGAGAGCAATTTCTCTCTCCTCTCATTTATACAGACTAATACCTGGAGAGAGCTTTTTGTGCATTCCTGATGCTTGATTTGGGGGTGGGAAAGAGATTATGCATATGCAAAACAAATGGAGCTTTAGCAATTGCCGAAATTATATTTTGTTTCTTCTTAAAATGTTTTTTCTAGAGTTGTCAATAGGTAAATCAAAAGTCCTGAAACCTCCTCCCTAACTGCAGTATAAACATAGCTTTCAAAACTGTCTTCTGGTGTGATGTTAAACCAGATTTAGTGATGTTGATCTACATTTTGAAACTGAAAAATGCTTTTTGAAATGCATATATTTATTTTGGTTCTGAGGAAGAAGCAGGCTTTTGCAGAAAACATTTATAAACCATCTCTTTGTTGGAAATTTGTCTGAGTTTAGGTAAATTTTTGAAATGATGGAATGTTAGATGGAGCAAAGAAACAACCCTTTTATACTCTGAAGAGAAAATGCAGTCTGGAGGATTAATATTTCCGAGAGATTTACTGTAGAGTTTTTGCCCACTGGGGGGTGGTACACTCTACCAGAACACTGCTTTCAGAAGCCGCAAGTCAGATGTTGGCTGCTGCTGGCCAGTTTTTCTCTAGTTTAATTACAACAAAGCCTCCCGTTGAGAAGAACAGTGAAGGCCTCTGGGGCAAAAGGTGGGGGGTGGGAGGGACAGGCAATGAGGGAAGAAGGAGGGGAGAAAGGCTTTGAAAAATTTACTGATTCTTACTTTCCTCATTGACTTCGTTTATGGCAGCGTTCATTTGACTTTAAATAATTATGTATAATGCTTTTTAAATAAACTAGTCTGAATATAGAAGGGGGTTTATGAAGGACCTTTGGCTTCGCACTGGATCTTGCCATTAATCACATTCTTTGTTATATAGCCCACCCACCTTAAAAAAAGGGGGGGGTAAAGTTGAGCGTCGACTGAAATGGCAACTCTAAACAGTATTTTTTAAAAGGTCTTATTAATTTATTATTAGTATTAATGTTGGCATAGAAAATATAACAAGCAAGAAAGATTAAACATTCATGATATAAGGACAAGGTAAATTCTCTTGTAGGGTTTAAAATTATTCGAAATAATCCAGAAAGAGACTCCTGGAAGACTTAGGCTGTATAGCCAAGGGAAGCGCAGAAAAATCTTTCTGCAGTGCACTTGCATGTTTAAAGCTGATAATTGTATTTTTCATCTGGAGAGACCGAGTGTTCATTAGGGTCTTGTGTCCCTAGGCAGGAGATGCTGAGCGTAATTGGAGTTTCTATTTGATTGGGCAATATAGTCAAAGGAGAAACTGGGGTAAAGATAATTAATAGCTTGCTAACAAAGTCTGACAGCCACAAGATTTCAACCAAATTTATTTCACACCGCTTCATTTAGCTCTGAAAAAGTTTTGATAGAATTGGAGGCTTCTTAATTAACACTTGAAAGCAAAAGAAACATACCTTCTATTTTGCTGCCACATGTAGTTATGACAGATATTCTAAACTGTTTTTCTCCTGTCTGTAAAAACTTTATTTGCTGCCCAAATAAGAATTTCACAAACGTTATTTTTTAGAAGTGTTTAATTGGGGCGTTTTGAACCTAACCATAATTGATTTAAAAGGGGGTACTGCAGAGAAATGAAAATCCCAGTTTATAACTGATAGTAATAGAACACATTACTAATGAATTCATTACATTTATTCATTCACTAATATCTTTGCTGATCTTTGGACTTTTGTTTTGAAAATGCTCCATTAAAACAATGAAACTGTAATTTTCTTGGTTAAATACATGTAATCATGGCTTTGTCACCCTATTTTATTGTATCAGCCTAATAAGTATATGGATGGATGTATGTATGGTATGTATGTTTATATGTATGTAAAACTAAGTGGCATGTCTCTGACTTAATCTCATCATGATTTAAACCTGACATTACTATTGATATCTGTAGTATTAATATTAACATTATTGTGGTACTTTTAAAAGACTGATTTTTTTTCTTCACTAATTTCAAAAGAAATTAGTATCAATTCATCTGTCATTTTGGGTCAAGCGCAAACAATTCTACCTGAAAACAGACAAATTTGTTTTTTCATGTTTATGCTAGTCAGGATATTCTTATGCAGTTAAAGATAAATGAAAGGCATTGCTACAGCGGAGGAAGCACATTTCTGGTGGTTTTATTCATGTTGTTCCAGGTTAATACAGTAACATATATGTTCAGTTGAAAGCAGATAGATTTATTAAGAAAACCTAAACTAGCTATTTATTAAAACTATTAGAGAATTTGATTCCATAGTAGAAAAATAATAAAGGACCTTTTCTTTTTAATTAATTCTAAATAAATAAATAAATAAAAACTAACCCCCCATTCCCCAGATGTTGAGAAAATATGGGCCTGTTGCATTCTTTACCTCTCTGCAACCATTTTGTTTCAGATCTAATTCACTTGCAAACAGATTCTTTTTTAGAAGATACGTTTAAGTACTTTTCAAAAACTCTGTAGTATAAATGCATTCCTTCCCATATAAAAATGTCTCTATTTTAAGTTGCAAATGAATGGATACTCTACAGATCCCACTTGGTGAGGTTCTGCTCATTAATTTTATTTCCCCTGCTACCCTGAACTCACTGCATACATCAGGCATAGCTTCCAGGGTGAGCTTTGTTAGTGTGTCTGAGTAGACTTAGCCATTTGCTATGCTAGTCACATACTACACTTGCCCAGGCAATGGATTTTGGCATAATACTGGCAAGGGAATATGGTTTGGAAAAGTCTCTCCCTCCTCTTAAGTTGAACTTACAAGTTGAGATTTGCAAGCCTAAAATGCTTGAAGTAGCTCTGGCAGGATAGCAGTGCAAGCTTTAAAATCTAGGTGTAGCTGTTAATCCTTTACAGAGGCACAGAAGTCGCCAGGAGTAGCTCGGTTAGCTGTGAGCAAGATGTATGCTTTTCATGTACTGCGTACTCACGGGCAGAGGGATTATTGATTTTCTTTCACAGTTGTAAAAACAGCAATTGGTGATCATACCACACATACAGTACACACCAAGTTAGAAAGACCTTTTGCTTCCCTATCTGTGAAAAATCTGCCTTGTATTATTTCATATTTAACATTTCACTTTCCAACTTGCTGTTTTCCATAAGGCTGTTTTCAAATAGCAATAGAGACAGAAAATAGCCATTAGTTTTCTTTTTCTTTTTCTTTTTTTTCTTAAATGAAAGAAAATTTTAAGAAACTTCTTGCATTTGGCTATATAGTCAAAATTTTCTTTGCGGGCTTGCACGCACATTTATTGCTCATACTGGTGACAGAGCAAACATTTCTATTTGAATTCTCATGGTACCAAGTCATTTCTCTCTAGAGACTAAAATCAAGCAAACTTTCTGGGACAATCATAGGAAAAAAACATGGAAAAACACTTACCAGGAAGACGAGAAAAAGCAATCCTATATACACTGCCGTTAGAGCTGTAATTCCATTGACTGAGAATTGGAGTAATAGCCCTCCCCCCTCCCAGGCTCTGCGTCCTGTCCACACAAAGCCAGCGGCAGCTGTTTTCCATAAGGCTGTTTTCAAATAGCAATAGAGACAGAAAATAGCCATTAGTTTTCTTTTTCTTTTTCTTTTTTTTTCTTAAATGAAAGAAAATTTTAAGAAACTTCTTGCATTTGGCTATATAGTCAAAATTTTCTTTGCGGGCTTGCACGCACATTTATTGCTCATACTGGTGACAGAGCAAACATTTCTATTTGAATTCTCATGGTACCAAGTCATTTCTCTCTAGAGACTAAAATCAAGCAAACTTTCTGGGACAATCATAGGAAAAAAACATGGAAAAACACTTACCAGGAAGACGAGAAAAAGCAATCCTATATACACTGCCGTTAGAGCTGTAATTCCATTGACTGAGAATTGGAGTAATAGCCCTCCCCCCTCCCAGGCTCTGCGTCCTGTCCACACAAAGCCAGCGGCAGCTGAAGCTGAGCTTGTCCTGCTTCAGATCACTCCTGCACTGAGAAGTGAGCGCGAGAGAGCATTCCAGTTTACTGCACGCAGCCCACCTCCAAGTCTGAAGTTTAAAGCTTCACCTCGCAGTGGTGGAAGAGGGGGTGATGTCATAGATGGGCAGGACTTAGCCAAGCTCTTGTTCAGTGAGGTAACTGGATAATCAGACAATCAGCTTTGTAAACGCTAGAGGGGGCGAGAGAAGCCGAAATGAGGCATTCAGCCTGCCAAAGCTTAGGATGGCATTTGGTTTGTAGGCAGCCCTTCGGATCTCAACATTTTATAAAGTTTACTACAACAAGGTGGTGGTAGCATGCTTATAAAAAAATGCAGGCATGCTAGGAGGATATTTATAAGATTACAGTAAAAAAAACCCAAAGGTTTCTCTTTATGTCTAAGCCATGGGTATTGAAAAAAGTTAGCTAAAATTATTTTTAGAGTTGACTAGTTTTCTAACATTATAATTGTAGAAGATGAGGACCAGCAACCCAACTGTGAATATTTATTCAGCAAATGAATAGAAAGCAGGTTAAATAAATAACTGATTCATTTAAGGGAAGGGGAACAGGAATGTATTAAAAACAGAAGTAAACAATCTATTCTTTTAGTGGTAAAGTATAAGTTATTGTTCCATACATCTTTTAGAAAAATAGTTTCATGTACTTCCACTGTTTGACAATCTTGTATACAGTTTAATATATACTAGATTACTTATTTTTAAGGAACAACCCCAATGAAAGTTTTTAAACAATTAAATAGAATATTTTCTTCTCTGATATATTTTTACTATTCTGAGCATGGATTCAGATATAAACATCTTAAGAAAAAAGATCTCTTAGGGGTGATTTTATTTGGATTAAGTACTGGACAATTGCAAGACATAGAGATTATAAATTTCTATGCCTAATTAATAGACCTATGGACTTTTATTTTTAATTATGATTTTCATAGACTAGTTTCTGCTTTTTGGTCAACAATTGCTTTGGGCCCATAAATTTTCCACTAATTGAGTGCATTTCTCTTTTTACTATCATTGGGAAGAACTTTGCTTTTATATTTACCTGGAGGACACTTTCCTTAAACTAATATCTTTGTTTTATTCTTAGAGGTTTATGATTTTCTCCTTTATCCTTTTAAAAATCTCTCTGAATGTTTCTTTTTGAAAGAGGTCAGCTAATCATTTTTCCCAGAAGTATTTGATTATGGTCTTTTCATTAGCTTCATTTAGTTTATCTATTTATATGCTAGTTTGATAGCTCTTTGACCTTCTGAGTTCCCCTCCAAGATTGGTGATATCAAAATAGAAGGCTGTATTCACTAACCCCTATTGTTCTGATTGCATTTATATGGGCCTCAGAGGTCAGATCCATTAAGTGTAGGAGTTTTAGAATTCTAATGTCTATCAAAAGGTCAATTTTTTAGAATTGTTAGGTAGTAAAACAATTAAACTGAGGTGCAGTTGCTGAATTTGTGGAGGGAAAGGAGGTGGGAATAACAGATAATCTCTTAAGAAAGAGTAGATTCTGTTCTGTTACTGAAAAACAAACACATGGATTAAATTATTTTATGTAGTAAGTCTTTCTAGAAGGCATTTTCAGATGGGAGTTGGTTCTGTTTAGAAAGGAAATTTTTGCCCAATCAAATTTTTCGAGTTTATATCCATATTTAATCAGGCAGGCCTATTCAGGCAGGCCTTCAAAAAAAAAGAAAGAAAGAAAGAAAGATAAATCGTCAGTTTGGGTTATAGGTATCTAAAAGAAATTGTACCAGCCTGGGAGGTAGGAGTTCTGAGGTTTCAACTCCCCAGGCTACCATTTATTATATAACTTTGTGTTACCTGCTCTGTGCTTTGATTTCATCACATGGCATACAAAGGCAGCAAAAATTTATTGAATGGATATATATGTATTGTTGCTGGTGTTTTTTGTTTTGTTTTGTTTTCTTTTTTCAGCTGTGGATTAAAATATAAACGGCAAGAAATTGTGAAAAATGTAATCTTCTATACTCAAGTTTAGAGGCGAACTTTTAATCGAGCCTTGGACATACTAATCTATCAAAAAATATATTCTCTTTTGTGGCTTCCTTCCTTCCTTTCTTTTTCTTTTTTACTTCCTGCTCTTATCCACTGCCTGAAATTCTGCCAGTTGGAGGTAAACTTATGTGTGCCCCTTTTGAAACAGTATGTACCACCTTTGGAAAGGTTAAGAGTTGCTAGGAGTTGCCTCAGATTGCTTTCCTCCTTTGTTTCCTAAAGGAGATTAGCTACAATAAGGGAATGACTGTCCTAGTTGAAGGGGAAGGGAGCCTGGCAGTGTTCAACACAAGAAGCCTTTTAGGATGTGATAGGAAGGGAGGGGCTGGATTTTCACAGCAGGAAGGAGTCAGCTCAGTGTGAAGGAAGTTCAATGTTTAAGAGCTTAGGCTTCAGAGTACCCCTCCCATTCACAGTATAGTGATTAAGCGTTGTGCATTGGTATCCAGATCCTACATGACCAACTGTACCTTGAATTTTGGCTCCTCTGACTTGGAAGACACAAAGGGAGTAATCATGTGTGCATGTGCCTGTGTGTGTGTGTGAGCTCAAAATCCTGATGAGATGGAGAAGTGGAGGAAGAAGGATTGCAATACAACCACATGCATTTAGAGGGGCTCTCTCTCTCTTGCTCTCTGTCTCTCTGGCACACATATCCTCACACAATTAAAAAATAACAAAATGGGACCAGCAGTTGGTGTAATGGCTATGTTGCTGGACTCCCATGTAGTCGACTATGGTTCAAGTCCCGGACCCAGTGGCTTAAACTCATGCCAGGTGTGTGTGCATGCATGCCCAAGATCCCGAGAGGAGAATGGAGGTGAAGAGATTGCGGTATGGCCATCCCCCTAATGGGTGATTTCTCACTTTCTGTCTTTCTCTGTCTTTCTGGCGAGCACACACACCCTATAGCATAAACCTCTCAAAAAAAATAAATAAATAAATAACAAAACAAAATAGTCTTGCATTCCCAGCCTCCATTTTGGTTTTGTCATGTGACTAAAGACACATTATTTAATCTCTGAGTTTATTAGCTTAGTGCCTGAACTCATACCAATAAAATGATAGCTGTCATTATTAACATAGGGACATCTGAGTACCTGGAAGAAAGGGACAGACATTAAGGAGTGGGAGAAGAGTGTGCAAAGGGAGGTGGGAGAGGGCCAGTAATGAGTTTTCACACTGTTCAAATTTCCCTTTCAAGTATTTCTGCAACCAGGAGATGTGTGGGGTGGGAGAGAGAGATGGATAGGAGCTTTTCTTACTGATTTTTTTTTTTTCTGTTGTCCTCATGCATCTCATAGCCTTGTATACCTAGGACTTACAACTTAGTTAAGTTCTAGTAGCCAGTTTGGGTTGAAAGGCTGTATTTTGTTGTTTCTCAGACTAGCCTGTGAACATCATACATAAGAAAATGCATTTCAGATGGGAAACAACTGACTTGGAAATGAACTTCAATAGCATATTTCAGTTTTAAACTCCTAAGTCTGTTTAAACTTGTCATATCAAAGGACTTTGTGTTCTTCTGTTTTTGTGAGAAGATGGGAGATTCTCTGGTGGAGAACAGGGAAGATTGGATTTGATCACTTTTCCAGGCTCTGCCATTTCATCGTGCATCAGAGCACAAAATAAACAACAACAATAAAAACAAATTTCTTTTAGTAACAACTCCCAGCTGAAAGTGACTACAATACATAATTATTTCATAAAACAATTTAATTCAGATCTGCCTACCTGTCTAGACTTAAGTGATCTCACTCACACATTCATTCATTTATTTTTTGTATATATACCCATTGACTATGTCTTTAAAAGAAATTCATAGGAGTAAGCAATCCCTGAGCCACCTTCAACGATGATGACATTTAATTTTATGTGTATTAAGGTTCCTTTAAGTATTAGAAAGAAATTTCTGGATGATTTTCCTTCCTCTCATTATTCTTCATGAGAATAAAGTCCTCAAAGTTGTATGAAAGAGTGAAAAACCAATGCAGGCTTTGTATAGTAAATGTCTTGGATAGTTATCGACAGAGAATATTTGGCTTTAGTGATTGGAAATCCAGTTCTTACTGAGCAATCAGCCATTGGAATCTACTGGCTCATGGAACTGAAAAGTGTAAATATTTGGTATGGCTTCAGGTAAAGCTTGGTACAGTGGCTTAAAAAGTGTTGATCAGAGGGACCAGCAGTTAGCGTAATGGCTATGTCATTGGACTCCCACGTAGTCGACTGCAGTTTGCGTCCCGGACCTGGTGGCTTAAAACTCATGCCGGGCACATGTGTGTGCGTGCCCAAGATCCCGAGAGGAGAATGGAGGAGAAGGGATTGTGGTGTGACCATCCCCCCTGGGGGGTGATTTCTCACTTTCTGTCTCTATGTCTTTCTCTGTCTGTCTGGTGAGCACACGCGCCCTATAGTGAAAACCTCTCCCCCCCCAAAAAAAAGTGTTGATAAGAGTATTAGTTTCTCTCTGGCTGGCTGTTGCCTTTT